ATAATAATAATAATAATAATAAGTTTATATAAGGTTGAGGCTCCAGAAAATCAAATTAAGGCGCACTCTAAAAATTCAATAGAAGAAGTTGTTTCGATGCTAAAAAACCTTTAAATATGATCATCTTGAATTTGAGATACATGTACATAAAAAAGAAGAAGAGGATGTCAATTCTTGAAAGTAGTGTATCTTATAATGCATTATCTAGACTCTCAATGTTCTAAGATTTTTAAGGGTTCATAGATATAGATATGATTAACATACACTATTTTTTAAAGATTGAAATTTCACAATTAGAGAGGAAAATATAATTTCAGTCTATCATAAAGATTTTCATTGCTGAAACGACATCTTTCGATACGATTTGAACGTGTGTCTTACTTTGATTGTTTAAGGCGTCAGACTTATACAAACCATACCCAAGAAAAAAATATGGAAAAACAAGAAAAACTCTTTAAAAAAATTCAAAAGAATTTTACAGATATGGATCCCCCAAACTATAACGAAACCCCCTTTCTCAATTCTATCCAACAACAAGCAATCAATCCCCCAAAATTTCCCTTCACAATAAGCATTTGCCCTCTCTCTGATCATTTCCTAGCTTCTTTCTCTCTCTAAGCTTTCTCCACTTTTCATGGAAGGAGTATTCAATTTCAATTTCAAATAATTCAGGAACAAAGCTTGGTGATCAGCGTTGTGGGTTGCCAAAACATGACATCCTGAGTTCTATTTGTAGGGGATCCTATCCCCCACAGAATTGCCCAAAAAAAAAAAAAGGGTTCAAACAAGACTTTGATAAGCAAACGATAAATTTAGTTCTGCTTTTATTTGCTTTTGCTATTTATGTCGTTGATGTGTTTAAACAGTTAAAAGCATTACTCAAAGAAGATAGGAAAATGAAGAAAAGAGGAAAGAGAAAATGGAAAAAAGAAAAGTAATCAAAGGTACAAAACATAACTACAACGTATATTATTGCCGGATACTCGCCGGAAAGAATTTTTTTTTCCCAACCCCAACAAAGGGAAAAACAAAAAAATTATTTTTTCATTGCTTCTGTATTTTCTAAAGTAAATATTAAAGAAAAAATGAAAAAAGACTCACCCGATATGAGCTCTTGGCCAAAGTCTTGCCTGAAACGTCACCAGAATCTTGCCGGAAAACTTGCCGGGAACCCTTCAGTGGAGGCCGGAGATGGAGAGAGAGAGGGAACCTTTCTGCTCTCTTTTAAATGTATTGAACAAGACCCGGCTTCTATGCGGCCAAGCCAGCACATTCGGGCATACGTAGTCGTGCAGTCCAGCCCGCATGAAACAATTTTAAAAGGAGGCTAACTACAATATTTCTATTTAACCCTTTACAAATTTAATAAACCAAAAAGGTCCCTACCCACCCATTTTTTTTTATAGGGTGTGGTTTCTATAAAATTACAACTTTAAACAATCCAATTAAAGGGCACCTCCAAATTTTATCATAACATGTAATTTTGATGTAAAGATTCTTAAGATTATCTGAAAATCTATTTTCATATCCAATGATAAAATTTTAAAATCCAAAAACATTTAACATCAAGTAGATCTATAAACATATGAAAATTTTGAAAATGGACGATCTAGATAATGTGTTACAAGATGCACTATTTTTGGGACTCATACATCTCGATGTTGAGATGATCAATTAGAGGGTTTTTCAATATTAAAACAACTTTTTCCGATAGAATTTTGAGGTGCATCTTTAATTCTACATTTTAAGGTTGCAACCTTATATAAACTTTTTCCTTTTTTATAAGAAAAATGTTTACATAAAGCCGGAGCTCTAAACAACCAAATTAGAGCCCACCTCAAAAATTTCTCTAGAAGAAGTTATTTTGACTCCTGAATATCTCAAATTTATCATTCGGAAAAGTTTATATAGAGCTGAAGCTCTAAACAATTAAATTCGAGCCTACCTCAAAACGTTCACTAGAAGAGGTTGTTTTGATGCCCAAATATCCTTAAATTAATCATCTCGACATCAAGATGCATAGACATGAGAAAAAAATAGATTTCAAGCTTTGAAAATAGTGTATTTTGTAACATATTTTTAGACCATCAATTTTTAAGATCTTCAAGTTTTCATAGATCTCTCGATCTGCACTATTTTTTAAGCTTTAGAATTTATTAATAAAGATGAAAATATATTTTAAGGCTATCAATAAGATTTTCAGTATTAAAACTATATTTCTCGACACTATTTGAAGGTAAGCTCTAATTTGATTGTTTAGAGCCTATGCTCTATACAAACTGCACCCTTGATCACTTGGACATCAAGATGCATGGACATGAGAAAAAAATGGATTTCAAGTTTTGAAAATAGTGCATCTTGTAACGATTTTTGGACCGTCAATTTTCAAGATTTTTAAATTTTCATAGATCTGCTTGATCTACACCATATTTAAAGCTTTAAATTTAAATCTATTACAAAGATTTTTAGTATTGAAACTACATTTCTCCAAACTATTTGAAGGTGCCGAACTTCACCCTTTTTATAAATAACAAACCGAAAAGGGCAGAAAACATCATGCGAATGTTTTATAAAGAAGGTAAATGATTTTGTGGTCCTGCATGAGCAATCTTTCTGTTTGTTCATTCACCTGAAAATCAAGCAAGGAGCACTTCATTTTTGTTTTGGGACTTACACGTTTTCAACTTGGTAATTAATCTCCTCAAAGAATACAAATCATACACTCAAATGACTTCGAAAGAAAGAAGAAGAGAAAGTAAGGTCCGCATGGTACAAATTTTGGAGGGAAAGATATGAGAGTCAAGGAACCCAAATTTTATTTTTTTAAAAAATATCATCTAGTGATTTATAAATGGATCTCACAATTTCACATTAAAAAAAAAAAAGTTAAGGGCCTTTCCTTTTTTTAATGAAAAATTACTTAAGTAATTCTATTTCTCAAAAGAGTTAGTGTACACTACAATTGGATTTGGTGCTATGTGAGATTGAGATTGAGAGTGATATTGATATGTTTCCTAAAGGAAATAAAAATTTAAAAAGATTAAGACTCTTGGATATATATATCTCTTGGTTTTTTGAGATGTATGTAACACCTATAGGAAGTTTCCTATTTAGTGTAGATTCTTAATCTTATATATATATATATATATATGTGATAAAAGTGCAGAGAATTTGTGTACCTTATTTGGATCACTATATGAGAATGATGGTTCCTCTAGAGAGAGAGGGGAGTAGGTCTTCCTGTGCATAAGATGCAAGGTTTATTCTTAGAGAGAAGAAAGCTTCTTATGGGGAGAAACATTAATGGTGCCTCCTGAAAACTCCTGTGGGAGGTAGGTCCTCTCCTATGCATAAGATTCCTTTAGGGGACAGGTTCTCCTCTGCATAAGATGCAAGGTTTCTTCTTAGAGAAAAGAAAACTTCTTATGGATAGAAATATTAATGGTGCATCTTGAAGACTCATCTAAATTGAGAGGTTGGTTTCTTGTAGAAAACCGGTTCCCATAGAGATGCTGGGTTGTTTCCCTTTAGGTTTCCTCCAAGAGAGAAGAAAGCTTTTTATGGAAAGAAACATTGATGGTGCTTCTTGAAGACTCTAGATTGAGAGGTTGGTTTTTTGTAGAGAAGTGGTTCTAATTAAAATATTGGGTTGTTTCCTCTTTTAGTTAGATAGAAATTTAGTTTTTTGTTGCTCTTGCGTTTCTATCTAGTATTGTCGGTAATGGTTGCTAAAAGTAAAAAGAAAAAAAGGAGAGTGGTTTAAAAATGTTTGCTCGACTGTATTTTTGTCGAGGTTTATTAAAAAATCTTTGATGTAACTTTCATTGGTATAGTGGATTTCAGATTGTCGTGCCCATGGATGTGTAGTCTTTCTATGTGAACCATGTAAATAATTGTGTTTTTGTGTATGTGTTTCATGTTTTATTTTTTGTACTTTATTTGTAAAAATTAACTCATCGGTTTTAGAGCTTCGACACACAACAAGCGGTATCAGAGCCCAATTTCGGAGTTTTCGATATGGCAATAAAAGTTTCGAATGCAAGTTTAGAGGTAGAGAAATATTATGGCAAATAATATTTTTTTAACAAGAATGATGAAGAAATTTATTTGGCAAAAGATGAACAATTTATGAAGCTATCCAATATATATTGGCATAGTGAGCAGGTGATTTTGATATCAAAATGGAGATTGTTGGATTTGATGCTATAAAAAATCAACCACATTAGAAAACCTCATATATGTGGGATTGAGATATTTTTTTATTATGTGAGATTGAGACTGATATTGATTTATTTCCTAAAGGAAATAAAAATCCAAAAAGATTAGAACTGTTGGATGGATATATCTATTAGTTTTTAAACATATGTAATATTTATAGGAAGTTTCCTATTTAGTGAGGATTCCTAATCTTATATATATATATATATATATAATAAAAGATAGAAAGTGCAGAGAATTTGTGTGTCTTATTTGAGTCACTATGTGAGAATGATGGTTCCTCTAGAGAGAGAGGGGGGCAAGTTCCTCTAGAGAGAGAGGGGGGCAAGTTCCTCTAGAGAGAGGGGGGCCAAGTCCTCATGTGCATAAGATGCAACGTTTCCTCTTAGAAAGAAGAAAGCTTTATATGGTCCTCTTAGAGAGAAAAAAGCATCATATGGAGAGAAACATTGATGGTGCCTCTTAAAGACTCTTGAAGATTAAGATGCTGGTTTCTTGTAGTGAAACAGTTTTCATAGAGATTTTGAATTGTTTTCCCTTTTAAAAACTCATTTTGTCATTGCTTTCGCGTCTCTATCTGGTGTTGTCGGTAATGGTTCTCGCGTCTCTATCTAATGTTGTCGGTAATAGTTGCCAAAAGTAAAGAGAAAGAAGATAGAGTGGTTTAAAAAGTTTTTCTTAACTGTGTGTTTGTCGACGTTTGTTTCGAAATCTTTGATGTAATTTCATTGTTATAGTGGATTTCAGTTTGCCGTGCCCGTGGATGTAGTCTTCATAAGGTGACCCCACGTAAATATTTGTGCTCTTGTGTATGTGTTTCATATTTTATTTTTTGTACTTTATTTACAAAAATCAACCCATCGGATTTAGAGCTTCTGTGCACAACATATAAGCATGCCATTCACACAATTATAAAAAATTTCTATGGATTAGCCTGGTTAACTCGAATGAGACTGGTGGGGCTGGTCCAAATCCCCCACTGAAATTGGCGAGTCATATAAAAATATATTTTTTCCTTTAGAAAATATTGGAAACTCCTGGATTTATAGGTTCAGAAGGTTTTCAATGGCTTCCCAATCTAAGACAGCAAATCGATTAGCTATTTCCTACAAATCACGAGAAAATCTTACCAAGTATTTGAATAAAAGTCCCTAATTTACAACATCCCTGAATTCCACAATTTTTGGACTGTTTAGAATTAAAGCATCCAAAATTATCAACTATTTAACTTTTTTTTAATTAGCCAAAAAAAAAGGATAGTTTGTGGCAAATTTATTAAAATACCCAAATCTTATCTACTCATTTTACCCCTCTTTTTGTTTATTTTAAAAAAAAAACCATGAGTTTGAGAATAGTTTAAAATCGGTAAAATGTGAGATAGTTGACATGTTAGGTGTTCCCCTTTTTTTATTTTAAAATTTGGGATCCATGAATCACCCATGATTCTTTCCAAAAAAAACAAAAAAAATGGGTTTTTTTGGGTTTCTAAAGACTTAGTTCTGACTACTCCAAATTTAAACCGCCCCAGTTCAATATTTTGACATTAAGTTTTTCGACAAAAAGTCCAATTCAATATTTTTTATTTTTATTGTTTAAGTTTTGAGATTTGCCGCTAGGTCTAAGGGGCTCCATCACAAAATTTTGGACAAGGGAGTAAATGAACAACATGCACCCTAAGAGGGCATGCAATGTTTTTCTTTTTTCCAAAGTCCTTTTTGCCTATAAACGTAACTTGGAGCCCGAAGTTAACCTACAATTATCCCTAGATTAGTTTTCGCCCTAGGGAGTAAATGGACAATATGCTCCTGGGTAGCATAAATGTTTTTGGTATTCAGCTAATCAATAAAATACAAATAAACGAATGAGGGGATAAAACAACTAAAAAACATATCGCCATTAATTTTCTAAGGTCTTCAAGTAGATACCACCTCTTTTATTTTTGAATCGTCGTAGATGCCACCCCTAGGTACGCACAAAATTTAATGGAAAAAGTTTATATTACGTTGCAACCTTAAAAATGTAGAACTATGGATGCACCTCAAAAATTCATCAGAAAAAGTTGTTTTAATATTGACAAACCCTCTAGTTGAGCATTTCAACATCGAAATGTATAATTATGAAAGAAAAAAAGATTTTGAGTCCCATAAATAGTGTATCTTACAACACAATATCTAGACCGTCCATTTTCAAAAAAACTATATGTTTATATATCTACTTGATTTTAATCAT